GTAAAAACTGCAATGGAGTAGCAGGTAGTGGAATTGTTAGGCCAGGGGTTGCAGTAAAGTTATCAACGATGGGAGGAGTATTGCTACGATTCCACTCATCACCCAGCCTAGCCCTCTTTGGTACCGGACACGTGCGGTCACCGCGTGGCGGGGCTGGGGCTTCTTCATCACTCTCATCCTCACTTTCACTCAAAATATCTTCATCACTTGAGGAAACCTCATAAAGAACATCATTTTCCGGTTCGTCAGCCTCCAAATCATCATCAGAAGACCCTGAAAAGGCTTCAACAACGTCGGGAATCTTGGATGGAGTGAGATTGACCCCACGATACAGATCGAAAATCCTGGCGATCTCTTCTGCTTTCCTAGATTTCCTACCTTTGTTTTGCGTTCCACTGCTTGTTCCTGGTGCAGCATCCATGTTGAAGGTATTGAATGGGTTTTAGGTACACGAGAACGGAAACGGAACGGAAATAAATGCGTAAAACGGGTCACGTTTGCCGCGAGAGGGGAGCACAGTGTGGGCACTTGGCGTGTCAACAAAACAATGGGCCGACCACGTGACTGGGTAGGCCGAGATGCCATGTGTTCGGTGAGGGAGAACGGGAATTTCATGGAGAACAATCTGAGAGTATCCCCATCCATTTCGGTTAAAAAATGGAATTTATAGAAATATTTTTTCGATTGACGAGAAAAGTAGGCAGTTATGCGGAATCGTAAGAAAAACCAGTGACGAGTTATCTCTAATCGAAAGCGCGAAAGTGTTAACAATATGCCTTCAGCCGAACAAGTCTATGTGGGTGGGGACGAGGACAGGTTGACTTGTTAAGCAGTTACCAGGGAGGATGTAATTAAACAAATAGTTAAACTCAAACCAAACCAATCCCCAGGGCCGGATGAAGTGTTTGCCAGGGTGCTTAAAGAATGCAAAGAGGAGCTTTCTGAGCCACTGTCAACCATATTTAATAAATCAATAGAGTTAGGCAGAGTGCCAGAGTCATGGAAGGTAGCTAATGAGGTACCAATTTTTAAGAAAGGAGATAGATTACTTGCGTCAAACTATCAGCCAATTAGCCTAATGTTTATTGTGGGAAAGTTACTTGAATTGATAATTGCAAATACAATTCGTCTTCATCTTGAAAAACATAAATTAATAAATGAGTCACAACATGGTTTTACAAATGGCCGTTTATGTTTAACAAATTTGCTAATTTTTTATTCCTGCATAGTTGAGGCAGTTGATAGTGGTAAGGATTGTGATATTGTGTACCTTGACTTTAGCAAAGCTTTTGATATAGTGCCACATGAAAGACTGATTAAAAAAATAGAGGCTCATGGTATTGGGGGTGCTATATTAAGTTGGATTAGGGCATGGCTATTCCAAAGGAAACAGAGTTATTATAAATGGGGTTAAGTCAGAGAGGGATAATGTTGTTAGTGGAGTGCCTCAAGGCTCTGTCCTGGGACCTCTTTTGTTTATAATATATATAAATGATTTAGATTCAGGTTTGAGTAGCAACATCTGCAAATTTGCAGATGATACAAAAATCGGTAGGGAAATTAACACGAAAGAAGACTCACAATCACTTCAAGTTGATCTAAATAGGGTTTTGAAATGGTCAAAAGATTGGCAGATGCAGTTTAATGCTGATAAATGTAAAGTTCTGAGGCTAGGTAATGATGATAGAGTTACAAGATACGAGCTAGATGGTGTTGAGATTGCGAAAGGAATCTGGGAGTTATGATTAGTAAGAATTTAAAACAAAAGGATTAATGCATGAATGTTCGTAATAAGGCAAATAGGTCACTGGGTTTTATTAATCGAAGCATTAGTAACAAGTCACCTGGTGTGGTTCTTCAGCTATATCTTGCTTTGATTAGGCCCCATTTATGCATTTATGCAGTTCAGTTTTGGTCGCCGTACAATAGAATGGATATAAATTCACTTGAAAGTATCCAGCGTAGGATGACTAAGTTAATTCCCCAAATTAGAAATCTTTCATATGAAGAATGATTAACCAAGCTTAAATTGAATTCACTGGAAAGGCAAAGAATTAGGGGTGACATGATAGAGGTTTACAAGTGGATGAATTGACATAACAAAGGGGATATTAATAGGGTATTAAAAGTACCAACACAAGACAGAACACGAAACAATGGGTATAAATTGGATAAGTTTAGATTTAGGAAAGACTTGGGTAAATACGGGTTCAGTAACAGGGTTGTTGATTTGTGGAACCAATTACCACGTAACGTGGTGGAGGTGGAGTCCCTCGATTGTTTCAAGTGTGGGTTGGACATGTACATGAGTGGGATTGTGTGGTAATTACCTAAGTGTAGTTACAGGATGAGAGCTACGCTCGTGGTGTCCCATCTTCCCAGCACTCTTTGTCATATATTGCTTTGAAACTACTGACGGTCTTGGCCTCCACCACCTTCTCACCTAACTTGTTCCAACAGTCTACCACTCTGTTTGCGAAAGTGAATTTTCTTATATTTCTTCGGCATCTGTGTTTAGCTAGTTTAAATCTATGACCTCTTGTTCTTAAAGTTCCAGGTCTCAGGAAATCTTCCCTATCGATTTTATCAATTCCTGTTACTATTTTGTATGTAGTGATCATATCACCTCTTTTTCTTCTGTCTTCTAGTTTTGGCATATTTAATGCCTCTAACCTCTCCTCGTAGCTCTTGCCCTTCAGTTCTGGGAGCCACTTAGTAGCATGTCTTTGCACCTTTTCCAGTTTGTTGATGGGCTTCTTAAGATATGGGCACCACACAACCGCTGCATTAGCTTTGGCCTAACAAAAGTCGTGAACAATTTCTTTAGTATATCGCCATCCATGTATTTAAAAGCAATTCTGAAGTTAGAAAGCATGGCATAGGCTCCTCGCACAACATTCTTTATGTGGTCCTCAGGTGATAGTTTTCTATCTAGAACCACTCCTAGATCTCTTTCTTTATCAGAATTCTTTAAAGATTTCTCACATAATATATAGGTTGCGTGGGGTCTATGGTCTCCTATTCCACATTCCATAACGTACGTACGTATGTGCGCGCGTGCGTGCGTGTGTGTGTGTGTGTGTGTGTGTGTGTGTGTGTGTGTGTGTGTGTGTGTGTGTGTGTACTCGCCTATTTGTACTTGCCTATTTGTGCTTGCGGGGGTTGAGCTTTGGCTCTTTGGTCCCGCCTCTCAACTGTCAATCAACTGGTGTACAGATTCCTGAGCCTACTGGGCTCCATCATATCTACATTTGAAACTGTGTATGGAGTCAGCCTCCACCACATCACTGCCTAATGCATTCCATCCGTTAACTACTCTGACACTGAAAAAGTTCCTTCTAACGTCTCTGTGGCTCATGTGGGTACTCAGTTTCCACCTGTGTCCCCTTGTTCGCATCCCACCAGTGTTGAATAGTTTATCCTTGTTTACCTTGTCGATTCCTCTGAGGATTTTGTAGGTTGTGATCATGTCTCCCCTTACTCTTCTGTCTTCCAGTGTCGTAAGGTGCATTTCCCGCAGCCTTTCCTTGTAATTCATGCCTCTTAGTTCTGGGACTAGTCTAGTGGCATACCTTTGGACTTTTTCCAGCTTTATCTTGTGCTTGGCACGGTACGGGCTTCATGCTGGGGCCGCATACTCCAGGATTGGTCTTACACATATGGTGTACAAGATTCTGAATGATTCCTTACACAGGTTCCTGAACGCTGTTCTGATGTTAGCCAGCCTCGTTATCCAGCTTTAGATGGATATGTGCATATAAGGGCCAATTGAAGAACAATATTGCCAGTACAATACGCGAAAGTATGAACAAAAAAAAATATACAAAATAATACAACTTTTTGTACTTACCACCTCAGTGTTGTGTGTTGAACATGACATAGGCATATAGGGAAGACATAGGCGCACATTTTAAAACCAGTCCCCAAAAAATCAGATAAAAACCTGATTTTTGGTGATTATTTTAGTGGACGACGCAGCATTGCGTCGTCCCCAAGATTACCGACAGTAAACTGACGACGCAGCATTGCGTCATGCCGGACGAAAGTGTCAAGTACTTCATCTCCTATTCTGTATCCTGTGTCTGGCCTCCTGTTTCCACTGCCTAGTTTCATTACTTTGCATTTACTCTCAGGTTGAACTTCAACAGCCATTTGTTGAACCATTCATTCAGTCTGTCTAGGTCATCTTGTAGCCTCCTACTATCGTCCTCAGTTTCAATCCTCCTCATAATTTTTGCATCATCAGCAAACATTGAGAGAAACGATTCTATACCCTCTGGGAGATCATTTACATATATCAAAAACAGTATAGGTCCAAGGACTGACCCCTGCGGGACTCCACGCGTAACGTCTCGCCAATCTGAGACCTCACCCCTCACACAGACTCCTTGTCTCCTGTTGCTTAGGTACTCCTTTATCCAATGGAGTACCTTCCCTTTCACTCCAGCCTGCATCTCCAGCTTTTTCACTAGCCTCTTGTGTGGCACTGTATCAAAGGCTTTCTGACAATCCAAAAATATGCAGTCTGCCCACCCTTCTCTTTCTTGCTTTATTTTTGTTGCCTGGTCGTAGAATTCAAGTAACCCTGTGAGGCAGGACCTGCCCTCCCTGAACCCATGTTGATGCTGTGTTACAAAGTTCTTTCGCTCCAGGTGCTCCACTAGCTTTCTTCGCACAATCTTCTACATCAGCTTGCATGGTATGCAGGTTAGGGACACTGGCCTGTAATTCAGTGCCTCGTGTCTATCCCTATCTTGTATGTGTGTGTGTGTGTGTGTAATTAGCTAAGTAATTACCTAAGATAGTTAGATATAGGAGCTATAGATATATAGATGGTTATAGATAGGAGCTGCCTCGTATGGGCCAATAGGCCTTTTGCAGTTACCTTTATTCCTATGTTCTTATGTATCTGCCACTGTTCATGTATCATTTGAATAAATAAGTTATTACTATTATTATTATTATTATTATTATTATTATTATTAAAGAACAGAATGTACCTGTGATTTGCAAGTGGTCGTTTCTTGCTTAGCCGCTTTCCTCATCAGTTTCTTCTTTATTGATAGTGTGTATTGGGTCTCCTCGCCCCCTGATGATAGTGCAAAATGTCATCTTCCATATACTGTAACGGGATGTGTTGGAGAAGATGTTGGTGATGGATAGTTCAATTTGATTTGTGGCGACGACAACTAGTTGGACGAATTTGTTGTTGTGATGCTAGCAACGGTCGGTTGTGCTTCTATTTCAGCACTCTCGTTTTCTTTGTTGGACAGCTGTATATGACATAGATTAGGGTTGGGGTGGGGGTAGAAATAGCTTAATCTACTCTATCTTGTTGAGATGTATTTCTTTCTTATCTCAACAAACATACCTGAACTTGAACTTGAACATAGATTTGATTAGATTAGATTAGATTAGATTAGATTAGATTTTTAATTCAGGTAAAGGTACAGACATTGAAGAGGAGTTACAAACATACTGTTGGAATTTAAAGATAGAGCTAGTACATACAATACCTGAAGCCACTAGTACGCATAGCGTTTCGGGCAAGGTGAGGAGAGAAAAAAACACTTAGACTAAAACTTAATAGTAATTGAGCTTAAAGTATAAATTGTGTTGAAAAAAAGGGAGGGGGAACATGGCAGAAAATAGCGATTATACAAGTTGGTCAACAAATAGCATTGTTTAAAATAGTAAGAAATGGGTTGTAACGTACGATTATGTTACGTTGTTGAGTAGATTTGATACACAGTATTTAGTGGGTTTTTGTATTTATTTAATAGTCTTGGATAAAGTAGTGTCGTAGATGTCGAGACGGAGCTTGGAGCAGAGCAGAGAGCTGAGTGAGGCCAGAATCGTGGAGCTCTATCAGGGAGAGCGTTGTAGCTCCATGCGGTCCTAGTCTGCTGTCTGTTCTGTGTCGAAGCAGTAAGTTCTGTGTTCTGTTCTGTCTGCTGTCTGTTCTGTGTTCAGTGTCGAAGCTGTTCTGTGTCGAAGCAGATTAGCAGTACGCTAATCTCCACAATCACCAAGCCCACCCGAGTCACTCAAACATCTGCCACTACCTTGGATCACTTATGGACTAATATAACAGCTCCCCTTACATCTGGGGTAATCTATGATAGAACAACTGACCACTATCCTACCTTCCTCATAGCAAACATGGATACAGTCCCTCCAGAAAGCAAGAAACTCTCATTCAGGCTACACAGTGAATCAGCTTTAGGCAATCTCTCTAATGCACTTCACAATATTACCTGGGAATGTGAATTCAATAACACAAAGGATATAAACTCATTAACTAACCTCTTTCTCTCCAAAACTCTAAGTATCTACAACACTCACTGTCTTCTCCTTACCAAACAAGTAACTGACAAAAGAAAAACCAATCCGTGACTCACAAGCGGCATAATCAAATCAATCAACAAAAAACATGAATATGAAAAGAAATTTAGGATTGGCCTAGTTACAAAGGAAGTAGTTAAATGGTACTCATCAGTGCTTACCAGTATCATAAGAAAAGTCAAACTTTCATATTATGAGACTAGATTCAAAGAAGCAAAAGGCAATATGAAAATCACATGGAATACCATCTCTAATATCCTAGGAACAAAACAACACTCCTACAACCAGATAACACTCTCTAAGGATGGCCTTACACCGTCAACTGACTTAGAAAATGGCAAAAGAATTTAATAGCTTCTTTTCATCGGTTGGTGCTAATCTTGCAAGTATAATCCCACAGACTCAGACACATATGAACACATATCTCTCAGGCAGCTATCCAAACTCTCTTCTTCCTTCACCAGTCAGCCCGGCAGATGTTGTGTCCATCATACACTCACTAAAAACCAAAGCTGGGAACATCAGTGAAATCCCATCCATAGTATACAAGAGCGCCTCCCTCGCCCTTGCGCCACCTATAGCTCTACTGTTCAACAAATCCCTTGAGTGTCATACCTTCCCTGATATTCTTAAAAAAACAAGAGTAACGCCAGTTCATAAAGGAGGTAATCCGGCAGACACAAACAATTATAGACCAATATCAAACCTACCCATCCTATCAAAAATATTTGAAAAAATTATCTACAAACAGCTCTACTCCTATCTCTTAAAATTCGACATTCTTAGCCCCTGTCAGTTTGGCTTCCGCTCCCAAAAGAGTACCAACGATGCAATTATTAGTCTTCTTGATATAATTTACTCAGCCCTTGACAAAAATGAGTTTCCGATTGGACTCTTCATTTTTTTTTCAGGGATATTCCTGCGCGGGCCCTAAGCCTCTGGCTGGCCCACTAAGTGTTGCTTGTTTCTGTTTTACTTGGGCGGAGTATGAGTATTTATTACTCGTATGGTCGCTTCAGTAAGATTTTGCCATATGTGTTTAACAACTTCTTCTGCTCTGTTGAATCTAAGTTGAAATCTTAATTGGTTTGTAACTGTGCACTGTGTTAGATAATGTTCCAGTGGCCTGTCGGGCATTTCTCCACAGTGTTGACATTTCCTCTCATCTTCCGGAACCTGTAAGCCTATTTCCCATGCATATGGGTATCCAAGCCTGATGCGATGTAAGTGCACTTCTGTTGCTCTACTGCTCCCTTTCATCAAACTAAGTGGTTCGTAGTTGGTTGAATTCTTGTACCAACCCGCAGATCCTGATGTTGCAACTGCTGTGTTGTGGTCACTGTACATCTTTTGCATTGCTCTGTTTCTAATTACTTTCTTAATCTGTGATAGACTCTGTGGTATGTAAATGTCTACATTTCTTCTCTTAGTTGCAAGTTTTGCAGCATCATCTGCAATGTCATTTCCTATTATTCCCACATGACTTGGCGACCAGTTGATAAGTACCCGTCGGCCTTGTCGTTTGAGTGTTTGCATTAATGATATGGACTCTTCATTGACCTGAGAAAGGCCTTTGACACTGTTATTCACAATTACCTCTTACGTAAACTCCATCATTAACCCTCTGTTTAGTTTGACCTCATACAATCAGCTGCTAAGCAAAAAACCAACCTCTATATATATGAGTGCTTTACAAAGCAACGTGGATCCCTCCTCTTCAGGCTGCGTCAAATTCGCAAACAAAACCGGCCTGGTCTTATCAAGCAGTGCTACACTAGGAATGGAACGATCATTGCAAAGAAGTTAAGTGCAGGAAAAAGATATGAAATAAAGTGTGACCAACAACTACTGGCCTTCTTTAGTGATTGTGGTATATCTGAAAACCTGAACCCGACCAATGCCAATACTTAAAATAACTCTTTGAGTGCCTGAGTCTAACCTAACTTAACTAGCTAACCTAACTCTAACCAGTCCAGCAACCAGGAGGCCTGGTCGACGACCGGGCCGCGGGGACACTAAGCCCCGGAAGCACCTCAAGGTAGCCTCAAGGTAACTTAATCTAACTTTGTCCATGGTGTTGTCTCTGCCTTACCATTTACCTAATGTTCTCTCATTCATATAATTTCCTAAGTAATCAGTCAAGTCTCCATGCACTTATGCAAGCATCTACCTCAGTATCATTGTAAAATTTTACTCTTAAATCTAATGTTACCCTATTCTTTTTTAAATTTTAAATTTAATTGTTCTGATTTATGTCATTTATTGAAATTAATTGTTAATCTCATTTTGTTCTCTTAATTAAGTTCATACTAATTATAGGTTAAAAAACTAAGCTAAATAAAATTAATTATCTAAGATTATTTTACTTTACAATCATCATTTGTCAAATTTTGTATATATTCATTTTGGCAGTCTCTACTGTTTTTTTTTGTTCTCTCCACCAAACTTGTGTATCCTTCATGGCTATCTAGTGATCTTTATTCTACTCCTAATTGTTTCAATTCTTTTGTTTACTTGCATTTATTGTTGTGTTTTGCTATAATTATTCTCTGATTACAGCAGACTTTGTATTTATGTAAGCATTTACCTCAGTGTCTTAGTAAAATCTTGCTAATAAATATAATCTTACCCTGTTATTTTTGTTTTGTTTTTATTTTTTAAATTTAATTGTATTTTGATTTATACATCATTTATTGTAATTAATTACTGAGTTCATTTTTTTCTTAAGTTCATTTATTTATTTATTTATTTATTTATTTATTTATTTATTTATTTATTTATTTATTTATTTATTTATATACAAGAAGGTACATTGGGTTTGTGAGAATACATAGCATGGTTACCTTGAGGTTACCTTGAGGTGCTTCCGGGGCTTAGCGTCCCCGCGGCCCGGTCGTCGACCAGGCCTCCTGGTTGCTGGACTGGTCAACCAGGCTGTTGGACGCGGCTGCTCGCAGCCTGACGTATGAGTCACAGCCTGGTTGATCAGGTATCCTTTGGAGGTGCTTATCCAGTTCTCTCTTGAACACTGTGAGGGGTCGGCCAGTTATATGCCCCTTATGTGTAGTGGAAGCGTGTTGAACAGTCTCGGACCTCTGAAGTTGATAGAGTTCTCTCTCAGAGTACCTGTTGCACCTCTGTTTTTCAACGGGGGTATTCTGCACATCCTGCCATGTCTTCTGGTCTCATGTGATGTTATTTCTGTGTGCAGGTTTGGGACCAGCCCCTCTAATATTTTCCACGTGCAAATTATTATGTACCTCTCCCGCCTGCGCTCAAGGGAGTACAGTTTTAGGCTCTTTAGTCGGTCCCAATAGTTTAGATGTTTTACTGAGTGGATTCTAGCAGTAAAGGATCTCTGTACGCTCTCCAGGTCAGCAATTTCTCCAGCTTTGAAAGGTGCTGTCATTGTGCAGCAGTACTCCACTCTAGAGAGCACAAGCGTTTTGAAAAGTATCATCATCGGTATAGCATCTCTAGTGTGAAAAGTTCTTGTTATCCAACCTGTCATTTTTCTTGCAGTTGTGACGGCTACTTTATTGTGTTCTTTAAAGGTAAGGTCTTCCGACATGAGTGCACCCAGATCCTTTACATTGCCTTTTCGTTCTATGTTATGATTTGCCTGAGTTTTGTACGTGGTTTCCGTTTTTATATTTTCATTTTTTCCATAGCGCATGAGCTGGAACTTATCTTCGTTAAACACCATATTATTTTCTGTAGCCCATAGAAAGACCTGATCTACATCTGACTACAGGTTCGCCGTGTCCTCTATGTTGCCTACTCTCATGAAGATCTTAGTGTCATCTGCAAAGGATGATACAGTGCTATAGGTTGTGTTCTTGTCTATGTCCGATATGAGAATGAGAAAAAGTACTGGAGCAAGCACAGTACCCTGGGGGAC